TTTCATGCATTTATACATGTACATTGACCCATGACCAGATGGCGTTATATACGCGTATATATTTGGGATATGGGAAAAGGTTACGGCGTTATATACGCACCACCACATGATCAGCTGGTATACGTTGATGATTTTACCCACAGTGGCCGAGATGATATGATGGGATGCCCTCAGAGGTCTGATGATGTTATGAAACATGTACCTATACACGACATGACATTCATACACATATGCATGACACTATAATTATTTCATGATTTACAGAGTTATCCAGACTTACAGGTTGAGTCATTTACTCTATAATTCTTCCATGTTTGTTATGTACTTATTTATGTGCCTTACATACTCGGTACATTATTCGTACTGACGTCCATTTTGCCTGGGGACGCTGCGTTTCATGCCCGCAGGTCCTGATAGACAGGTCGAGAGTCCTCCAAGTAGGCTATCAGCTCAGCGGAAGGTGTTGGTGCGCTCCATTTGCTCCGGAGTTGCTTATGTGGTCAGTATGATTAGGATATGTACTAATTAGTATAGCGGGGCCCTGTCCCGACCTTTATGACATTTATATACTCTTAGAGGCTTGTAGGCATATGTCGTGTATGTGAAAGATTGTACGGCCTTGTCAGCCTATGTTTTGAGTTTATAAATGATCATGTCGGCCTATTAGGCCCATATGTCACGTGTATATGATGATGTAATAAGAAAGATACGTTACGTTGGTACTCGGTTGAGTAAGGTACCGGGTGCCCGTCGCGGCCCATCGGTTTGGGTTGTGACAACAGCATCGTCGGAAGATGTCGGTAAGGAATTCCACATGTGGGTTACCTCATGTGAGCAGTTAGCGGTGGCGTGATGTTGATGAAGCTCTTGCGAGGAATATTACTTGATACTCGGTAAGAGGTCGAGTGTGTGACTGTAGCTGGTGATTCAGAATGTCCATGAAAAACTTAACAAAGGACTTCGAAAAGTCTGGCGGGTTAACGGTGCGAGATCTTGGTAATTGAGAAAGGAAAATCCTTGCGGGTTCTGATTTTTATATAATGGCAGCTTAAGGCTAAGTGGAGGAGCCTGCTATTGACAATTTAATTTCATGGTTATGTGTTAATTTTTAGTTTTGGCCTGAGGCATACTTGTGGTTTAATTATAACTTACAGAGGTGGAGATTGAGGATGATTCGGGTAAGTAAATTTCTGAATGCAGGTTACATTCACTACAAGAAAAAGGCTTTTTAGGGACCAACATTTAGCGACGAGGTACAAATTTGGTCCCTAGAAGTACACTAGTAAGGACGAGAATATACGCTAGTACTTAAATCTCTATTTTTTCATTAAATTATTAAAGAGAAACAAAATTAATTCTGATATATGGTCCTCAATTATGCATATTTGACGCGCGAGAAAGTGGCGCCACACCAAATTGGAATAAAACTTAAAAAATAATTTACTCTAACTTTTAAGAAACCCTATGTCTCCCGATTTCTCTCAAGGCTTATCTCCCTCACTCCTCAAAGAAGTATAAACCCTAAATCTCCTAAAACTCCATAAAGGAAGGTATGTGTACTGAAACTAAATCAACATTTTTCTTTTATCTCTCTTAAGATAGGTTATCTAAACTCATTTTTTGCAGATTTGGGGAGAATATCAAACTGAAAATCTACTACTCATCTATCACAAGTAAGCACACTTTCTTTCTCTATATATTTGAGTTAACCTTTGTTTAATATTTCTCAACAACCCATTTTTTCAGGTTTGTGAAATCTTGATTTTTTAATTTTTTTGATAGTAATTGGTTGCTACGACTCAACAATTGTTTTTACAATCAGTTCTTTTCCAGATTACATTTGCTTGGGTGTCCCTTTTTGAATTTCTTGTAAAAGCCTATGCTTTGTTTGGTGTTTGTTCTTCAAATTTGTTGTTCTCTGTTTTTATTTTTGAATCTTACCCTAAGAAGAATTTTTCGTTTAATTGAAGTTGGAGGAAGGATTTGTCTGCAATTGTTTATTTCTTATAAGAAATAACATCTTTACTTCAATTTGTTTAGATTATCTATGAGTGAATTTTCATTGGAGCCTTGTTGTTGTAGCATTTAGATTATTCTTGGTTCCTTTTGGTTTCTCGGTGTTCTTATCTTAATTCTGGAAACTTTCTTCTTTATGTTAAGCAGAGAAGAAGAAAATATGTGTATTTGGATATTAATATTGCATCTCATTGCAATTATTAGTCGTGTTATGGGACATCCCTTGCATACCACAATTGGTTAAAGTTTGTCATAATGATAAAAATAACTGAGAATTTGTGTTCTGCATTTGAGGTGATTAGATTAGAATTATGGTATATGTTTTTTTAGACAGAGTAATGTGTAGTACCATGTTACTTCTGTACAACTGTTATGGTCTTAATTTCTTGGTGCATTTGTTAGTAGGCAATGAGTCATGATAGCTNTTTTTAGACAGAGTAATGTGCATACCATGTTACTTCTATACAACAGTTATGGTCTTAATTTCTTAGTGCATTTGTACTAGGCAATGAGTCATGATAGCTGAGAAATAGTAATCAAGTCCTTTTGTTATATTTCTAGTCGAGTCATGATAATATTGCTTATATGATACAAAATTTAGAATTCGGGCTTCTTCCTCTTTACTTAGTTCGCTAGCATTAGTGTTAATATGATATCCTTTTAGTCATAGATTGATATTACTACCTAGAGTTTCATTGCTTTCTTGGCTTCGGTTTTATTTTTATCTTGTTGTTATTCCTACTTGTTGCTATTACTTTTTTCATTCGTTCTCCAGCCGAGGGTCTGTCGGAAACAGTCTCTCTGTCCTTCCAGGGTAGGGGTAAGGCTGTGTACATCTTACCCTCCCCAAACTCCACTTGTGAAAAATTATTGGGTTTGTTCTTGTTCTTATTGTCATTAGTTAGTAATTGTTAATTCTAGCTCATTGTTCCGAAAGGAATGTACTCCAATGGACCAGAGAAATTGTTGATGAGTAACAAGTACACTAGTTGATGAGTGTTGAACAAAGAAATTGCGTTTTATGTTTATTTTGACTTTTTAATTTGTAGCTTATCTCATTCTAGTGATATATTATTAGTTTTAGCTTCTTAAATGTATCATCATTTCTGGATAATTAGCTACAACTTCTTATGGCTCAAGACACTTTGTTTCTTATAGAAACCTCTTTTCAGTTATATCATTTTTCCTAAAAGGTTATGTGCACCTTAGAGTACTTTCATTATACTATATCTTTTTTCTAATTTGATTTTTATGGAACCTCCAAGGTTATGGCACCTAGTAAGCAGTGAATGCAACTTGTTGATAATCAACTTGATGAATATTTGGTCACATTACTAAAGGACATGACTACACTCAATATAGGAAATTGAATGTGCTCGTTTTTTGTACTAACATCCGAGTATGCAGTTGAAAACACTCTTCTTTTCCTATGTATGATTTATGGTTTTTTTTTTCTTGCATGTGTATAGTTATTGGTTATAGATTAGAGCAATTTGTACAACATTTACATTTGTAATTCTCTACCAAGAACTGCAAATATTTTCTTTCTGCTAACCTTCTTGGTGCATTACTTTTGTATCCGGCTCTGTGCTCACTTCTTGATTGAGGATCCATTTCCTTCGTATAGTTTCAAATACTAAAAGATAATTAAAGGTATTGACTCCCTTAGTTCCGGTTCTGGCTTTGATTATGTATGCTCTTTGCTGGTTGCTCTGTTGTATAGAATATGATCTTTTTTGAATTTGGACTTTACATTCCTATTTAAAAGGCAAGAACCCATTTTGATATTTCAGATGTGCCTAGTTTTTCTAATTCGTTTTTGTTTATATTCATGCAGCCTCGTTTATATTGTTGTTTTATTTTTGAAGTGGATATATATTACACTTAGTGAATTTGGACACTTTTTCGGGTAAGAGGTCAAATTATTATTAGAGTAAAATTGAAAAACTTTATTATTTAATATAATTTTCTAGTGATATTACAATCTTATTAAAGGAAATTTTTTTGAATATTTTTACAGGTTTTGGAGGCTAAAGTTTACAAATCAAGAAGCGGGCTTTGAAGACATACAAGTTGACTTTTACTTGGCTAGAAATGTTGGATAAAATATTATATTAAGTTTAGGGGTGTTAACTAGATCTTTTGCTAAAGGGTTCCAAAATATATTCTACCATGGTTGTACAGTGCCACTAACATATACTATTCACTTTTTATCCTTAATTATTATATATGAAACTATATCTATCATTATATTATCTTTTTGTGAGTAAATTTTCTATTTGTAGAATGAATATATATATCTGATTTGAAAATTTATGAAAAATTAGAATTTAGGACCACCTATGCTTGGTCCTTAATAAGATTAATGACCGGATCTTCTTGTCCTAAAAGTGTTTTAGGACAGGTAAACTCGACGCTAAATGTTTAAAGGCATTAAATATTACACGACATTGATTTGTCGTAAAGGCCATATTTCTGGTCCTTGAAATTATTTAAGGACCAGATTACAACTAGTCGTTAATATCTTTTAAGGACCAGTATTAGTCTGGTCGCCAAACATATTTAGGGACTAGATGTCAAACCCATCGCTAATAGCCTTTAACGACAGAGGAACTAGCGACCAGTGACGATCAATTTTAACTGGTTGCTATATATAATCTAGGACCAAAATTAGGCTTGTAGGGACCGTTATTCTGGTCCCTGGATGGCATTTTTCTTGTAGTGATTGCACTTTATGAGTATATGAAAATCATGGGATGATCGAGTTGTTATTGTTTGATGTAGTACGTACGAAGTATGAATTTGATTGGTGACGTTAAGGCATGGTTACTTCTTTAAGTGTGGTCAAGCTAAGGGAGCACGTGTCTTTCGGCCCGTTCGGGGGGTACAATTTAGAGTTGAGCAGAGTGAAGGACTCTCTAGAAGGTTCTAATGGGTTCAAGATTTATATATAGCAATTGAGAATTTCTCCGGACTTGTGCATGAATAAAATCTGAGATTTGCCTTTGATGGTGCCTGGGCTTACGGAAATTCTGTATGACTATGGATTCTACACTTTAGTATAAGGAAGGTAAGAAGAACAATTTTAAATTCACATAAGGTATTTTCAGAGTGAGTGTTATAGTTGGAGTATTTATGAAGGTGCTTAAGAAGAATACAACTGCTTAAGGACCGTAGGGCGTTGTGGTTCTATGCTAAGGTTTGTGGGGTGAGTTGTGGCTAAAGATCGTGGCGATTTAGCAAGGAGAAGTATCAATCTGAAGACAAATTCGGAAGGGACTCGGAGAAATAGGACAACATGGTAATAAACATGATCGGTTCTTTTGGGTGCTTATGATGTGGGGGTTTTCTACAGGTGCTTTGTGGCAATACTCTTTGATTTGGCGACCTGCGTGGCTGGGTTGAGTTAGAGAGATTCAGTTCTAATAGCTTGGTTGTGTGCAAATGGGTCTCGGAGAGTTCTCAATGGTTTTTACCACGACTCAAGGAGTATATTTTCTGTCAGCGTGAGGAATATGTTGCGTATTGGGATTTTCTCCAAGAGGAGATCAAATGGAAGGTTTCTGATTGATCGGGTATGTGTTCTGCTTTGTGACTCAGAGTGATTATGAGATTCTTGTACTCTTCACAGGATGGCATGGTAAATGCGGTGTATTATGTGGGATTGAGATTTGCAGGTGCAAGGTCACGGTTCAGTTTTGAAGGAAAGGACATAAATTCGTAGGCAGCATGGGCGGTTTCAGATGACTAGGTAAATGATATTATTAATTGGTATGGCCTGATGAGAGTATACATTTCAGAAGGGGCAATGTATTTTGATTCATCGATACTTCATTGGTATTGCGGCACTCTCTTGGTTGATCGACTGCTGATATTCAAATTTTACTATATGGCACGGGGGAATTATAGAAGCATTTCTCGTGGGATGATCGTGTATGAAAGATGTGTTAGACATTCGGCAGTGGAGTTGGGATAAGATATGGTAATTCGTGTATTCTATGAATTTGGAGATTGGAAGTCCTCAGGAGCAGATTGTTTCATGGTTGTGGACTGTGAAGTCATGGCCGAAGCTAGCTAGATAATAGTATGTGTTATGATTCAGTCATTGTTGGCTTTCGGAGGATTATTTATCTATTTGTAGGTGACCAGAGTTGATTTGGGGTCCATTGGTAGGCCCAATTAGAATGTGTATTCTACACTGAGTCTGACTGGTTGGCTCCCTACTGCTATTGTTGAGTGATGTGTCATTCGGTTGATGTTGAACTTATTCGTGATCTAAAATGATCTGTGAGTTACTCTTCTATACTACGAGAAGTTGTGTTTCATTGGTTATATGCACACATGGTGCAGATCTATTGGGGGCCTTATGGCAGAATTTGAGCGAGATGAGTATTTGAGTATTGCATGCTCGATTGCGTATTGGTTATGTTCTTTCAGGTTTTGTGTGGCATTTTTGTCATTTGCCTCTCCGTCGTTATTAATTTTGAGCAGGGTGGCTCGAGGTAGATAATATGGACAAGCATTTGGATGGGGGCACGCATTGCAACAGAGTTATGTTAAGGTATGAACCTTGTGTTAGAATCGTGTGATGGTTCTTCGGTGTGTGATGGATTTTCAGCATTTCTTTGTGGCGGTACTTGTTAATTTGGCGGGGCAGTTCTCTCATTCGAGTCATTTTCCATGACTGAATACATTTGAATTGTTGCGTGTTGACGCACGGATGGCACGGTTTGTGGTTCTGAGCTATACTGGTATGGCATGTCTGTGGGATAGTTGTGTTTAATAATATAAGGCCATTGGACCCAGAATGGGTACTGTCAGGTTTGATTACGGTATATTTGGGAAGGTGGCATTGAAAGTCGGCTAAGAAAGGTATTATGGTTCTGGGTGGGACGAGAGAGCTCCATGACGTGCTGATCTGATAAGAGATTACGAGATTCTGCGTGTTTCTTTTATTATCGTCAGTGTACGAAGTTTTGGGGTAATGTTTGGTTCGATATGGGGTCTAATACTAGTACTTGGTTGGTTTTGGAGTAGTTATTGTGATCGGGAATGGTTCTACGAGCATGCGAGTTGTGTAAAATATTAGTTGATTATATCTGTGGTTATAGTTATGGCTCGATGCAGCTCGTTCAGTCTTATACAGTGTGTGGATGTGAGATTCGGGTGTTGAAAAGAATTCTGGATGTTAGAAATTTGGCTACAAGATTTTTGGGCTAAGGTTAAATTAATGATTTTCAGTTATGTTGTGTGGTCAGACCTATATAGAATAGGGTGACATGAGATCACCCCCGGGTACATGCATGGTAAGATAGAATAGTGATTTGATGGCCTGAAAACAACTCCTGGCACGTTCGAGGACGAACATATGTTTAAGTGGGGGAGGATGTAACGACCCGGTCGGTCGTTTCGAGAGTTATAGCCCCGTTTCTCCCATTTCTGCTTCTTTTTGAGTCCTTCAGCTATGTTGTGTTATACCGGGTTAGCTGGTTCGGCACCGGAGTGGTTTCAGAGTGGATTGATCGATTGAGACACTTAGTCTCTAAAGTAGAAGTTTATGTTAGAAAACGTTAACCGAACGTTGACTTATGTGTAAACGATCTCGGAATTTAATTTTGATGGTTCTGTTAGCTCCGTTAGGTGATTTTGGACTTGGGAGCACGTTCGGAATGAGATTTGGAGGCCCGTGGTAGAATTAGGCTTAAATTGGCGAAAGTTAAAATTTTGGCGATTTTGGTCGGTAGTGAAAATTTTGATATCAGGGTTGGAATGGAATTCTGGAAGTTGGAATAGGTTCGTGACGTTATTTTTTACTTGTTTGTAAAATTTGAGGTTATTCGGACGTGGTTTGGTAGGATTCGGCATCGTTTGTGGAATTCGGAAGTTTAGAAGTCCTTAGGTTTGAATCCAAGTGTAATTTGGTATTTTGATGTTGTTTTGAGTGATTTTATGATTTGTCTAAGTTCGTATGATGTTGTGGGATATGTTGGTATCTTTGGTTGAAGTCCTGAGGGCCTCAATTTGATTCCGGGTGATTAACGGAACAAGTTTGGAAATTGGAGGAATTGCTGAAGTTGAACTCAGCTGTCATAATCGCACCTGCAGATGTCTCATCGCAGGTGCGAGCCCACAGAAGCGAGCGGATGATCGCAGATGCGAGATTGGAGGAGGTGGGCAGAAGGCGCAGGTGCGAGAAGGTTGTCGCATCTGCGAGCCCGTAGGTGCGAGACCTAGGGCGCAGATGCGGAAGGGAGAAAAATGACTGGCTTCACAAATGCGGAGAGTTATGCGCAGGTGTGCAAGCGCAGACGCGAGAAATTGGCCGCAGATGCGAAACCTGGAATCTTAAGTGAGTTCCGTACCTGTGATGAAAATTCCGCAGGTGCGATGTCGCAGAAGCAGAAAAAGGACCGCAGATGCGGCTTCGCTGGGCACAATGTATAAATTGAGGACTTCGTGATTTTTGCTTATTTCCACCATTTTTAACTCGAACTTTGGAGCTTTTGAGGGGATTTTTGAAGGGCATTCAAGGTTATTCACTGAGGTAAGTTGCTTGAGCTCTATTATCATTAGCTATGGTGTTTTCCCGTTGATTTCTCACCTAATTAGTAGGATTTTTGAAGTGAAATAAGAGGGTAGGGCTTGGGATTTTGGAGAGAGTAATTTGAGGATTTGAAGGACCAAATGATGTCGGATTTTGATGAATTTCATATGGTTAGATTCGTGAGTGAATAGGCTTTCGGGTTTTGTGACATTTGTCAGATTTCGAGACGTGGGCTCGGGGTTCAGATTTGAGTCGATTTTGGGTTTTGAGTCTAATTTAGTAGTTTTCTTGTGGAATTGATTCCTTTAGCATATATTAATGGTATTGTACTGCTTGTGGCTAGATTCGGGACGCTCGGAGGCCGATTCGAGAGGCAAGGACATTGCGGAGTAGAGATTTGCTCGGATTAAGGTAAGTAACGGTTGTAAATCTAGTTCTGAGGGTATGAAACCCTGGATTTTTGTGTCATGTGATTATTTTGAAGGTGACACACATGCTAGGTGACGGGTGTGTGGGCGTGCACCGAGGGGATTGTGACTTGGTCCGTCCCGTGAAAAATGTAAAGTTGAATAACTTGTTGATAACTATGTGCTCTCTATGTGTTGTGGAAATTTGACTATA